CACGGGAAAGGGGACGTCCATCGTGACGTCAGACGGAAAAGTGACACTTTCTTGACGTCACAGGGGCACCTCGGTCAACTGCGAAAAGGCCAGGAAAGAGTCCAACGAAGAGGAACGCCATGTGGCGACACGTGTCATTATAGTTTCCCCTCCGAGGGATTTCACTGTCTCGTTTGTCGCTTAGCATGATGAAGTCGTCGGTGCTCGCCGCGAGAGATTGCCGATGCGATCGCGCCCTCCCATCTCTCCTCCCTTTTCCGCAGCGGATGCCGAAAGGAGGGTGGGGATTTCCCGGGCTTTCCGGGGGAGGAGGGTGTCGAGGGGTGGAGGTCCGGATTCGCGGGAGGAGGGGGGATGTCGATGGGCCGTGTCGCCTGGGAGCGATCTCTCGCGACTCGGTCGACGGCCGACGCGGTGGACCGGACGGAATCCGGGCTTGCAGGCTCTCGTCCGACCGCCGCGGGGCATCGTGAAATATACATTCTCGAGAAATATCGCGATAGATGCCCTAAAAAAATTGGAGGTGGGTGATAAATGAAGTCGACGAGGACGTAAATCCTCCGCACCGGAGCGATACTCGTTACGGCCTCGCGCCGAGTTGCCGAGTGCTCGAGATTCGGTCACGCATTCGAACGGACGCCGAGGGGAAAGCGGGAGGCTCCGGTCGCAGGTGTCTCCACCCCGTCTCCACCCCGTCTCCACCCAGTCTCCACCCCGTCTCCACCTCGTCTCCACCCCGTCTCCACCTCGTCTCCACCCCGTCTCCACCTCGTCTCCACCCCGTCTCCACCTCGTCTCCACCCCGTCTCCACCTCGTCTCCACCCGACCGTCGATGCACGTGCAGACGAGTGCGATGTTTGTTCCGACATGCACGCAGCCGTGAGACCGGCTAGAGCATGACGGCTTCGAAGAGCCGTGATGCTCTAGCCGGATGGTCTCGTAAAGATTCCCCCAAATATGGATTTTTGGATGCGAGGGGTCTGACGCGGTTTCGTCGTCCCGAAAAGGTGACGCAGGCAACGAGAGAACAAAGGAAGATGACACACACCCTGGAAATACTTCCTCGTTCCTCCGGATGCCTGGCGATGGGAATCGGGCCAGGTTTCTCTCGCTTCTCTCGCCCCAACAGCCGTCGGAAACGGACGGATCTCAACATCCTCATCCGATCCTCATCCGATCCTCGTCCGATCCTCGTCCGATCCTCGTCCGATCCTCGTCCGATCCTCGTCCTCCGGTTTCTCTACGGTTCTTTCCTCGAACGATTCGTCACCCAGCCGGCGACGCCGTGTGACACGCGGAGCCGAGCCATGTGACGCGTCGTGCCGAGTCATATGGCGCGTGGAGCCGAGCCACGTGGCGCGTGCAGCCATCAGCCATCAGCCATCAGCCATCAGCCATCTCCGACTCGCAGCGACCTGCGAGTCCCTCGTGCAAGTCGACGTCGAAGTTTGATGGAATTTTCCGAGCAACTTCTTTGTTCAAAAATGGGGTTCGTGAGAACTGGAAGATTCTAGTTTTCATCTTCATTCGATTCTTAATTCTTTTATGAGCGCAAGCTGCAGAGACTAGACGTGGAATGAAGGCAGGCCAGGAGTTTTTTTTTTTCGGGCTCAGTAGAGGAAAATTTGCAGATAAAGTGATTCCAGGTGATCCGGCACGTCCGGATGGGAAGTCCGGATGGGAAAAAGGTTTTGTTTTGAAAGCGTGAAAATCCGTGGACGATGCCCCCCGGGGGCGGGATCCGACGCCGAAACGCAAGCGTCGGGATTTCCGGAATCCCGTGCCGGAATAACGGTCCGGCTCTCCCGCCCGTCGGATTTCGTATTCGTCGGGGTTCTCGGATTTCCCCATCGTTGGGCACGAATGGATGGCGACCCTGGCAACCCCGAGCCCGAATAACGGCTTCCGGCGAATGATTCTTCCCGCTTCCCCGCCTCGGTTTTTCCCACGAGCGGAGTCGGGACTGCGTGAAAGGCAGGATCGGTTTTCGCTTTCGTCGGACGATGGGTCCGAGCGAATTAAACATTCGGTCGAAGCGGTGGGTCCTGCGATGAGGCTGGAAGCCGGACGTTGAGACATCTCGAGTGTGACCCAAATCCGACGGCCGTAATCTGTACCAAAAATAGCCATACTTGCTCCATTTACGGTTAGCTACTTGCTACTCGAGTGCGATTCACAATGGGGAATTTCGTAACGCTACGGGGGTCCGAAGTCACCGAGCACACCAGAGACATGTAGGCCGATCTAGGAGACTGCAGTTGGCATAGCCAGGGCCATACACTTATGGTACACGCACAACGATGACGTCACCCTACAATACCGTGTCGCAAAAACAGTTCAGTTCCGGGAGGGGGAGGGGGTTTCCTGAGAAGAGTGAGACGGGCGACTTCTGTGCGAAAGCTTCCAACGGATAAAAAAAAAAAATTCCCAAAGACATACAAATAAAATTTCCTCATTTAACTGCCTACAATGAGACGCCGTTGTCCATAAAAATAGAAATCCCAAAAGAAGTCGCAGGGACTCAGACGTCCCGCCAGGCCTCAAGGTCGCGTATTCCTATAAAGCCCTACAAAATATACTTGGGAAAAGTAGGACTTGCGAGTCCCGCCGTGTCTGAAAGGCTTAAGAGCTGCCTGGGGCGACCGTCATAAAATAAATCACTGCTCGGCATCTCTACCAGGCGGCTTGTAAAAATGCGCCAAAACACGTTTTCCAATCGGTATGGATACAGGTTTTTTTTTTTTTTGCACGTTCGCGACATCATCTCGTGACGATATGTTAATCTGGCATACCAGATTTGGAATCCAACACCCCAGCAACGCGATACCAGGTATGGCTAAGTACAGGGTGAGTCAAAAGTCACTGGGCGACTTCGAACAGCTATAACTCAGCCAGGAAGGGGTTAATTTGCAAGCGGTTTTTTTGCATGTGAAAGAGCGTGTGTTAATTGGCGAAACAACGTGCAAATTTGCATGACATACCAATAAGAAATAAGATGAGCCTGCACAAAATGAAAAGCAACATTTTTCAGCATAAAAGTGAAATTTAGGGTACAACGGACGCCTTATTCGCAGTTATTTTCTGTTAATTTTTTCTGCTCCAAATGGTTTTGTGATAGTGCCGATGAACTTTCTTTGGAGGAACGTGTCGCCATGTTTATTTTCTTCTCTATCTGTGAAGGAAATCATTCTGAAGTGAAGCTTTGAAGACGGGTCGGGCTTATCGAGTGGCCTCCCAGGTCGCCGGACCTGACTCCACTCGGCTGCTGGCTGGGGGGTTTCATTAAAAGAACAGGTATATGCCGAAAATTCGCGCACGATCAAAGAACTGAAGCAGAACGTCACTGAGAAGATCGCAAGAGGTTGCCTTTTGGTGGCAGCTCGCGTTATCGAGCTTGATGGGGCTCAAATATCATGGCTGGTAATTAGTCATTTGTACATTTATTTATTTAAACGTTGCATATTTGTTAATTAGCGGGCGCTCTTTCCAATACAAGAATACGATTGATGCCTTCCTTGCCGAGTTACTGCTGCTCAACGTCGTTCAGTAACTTTTGACTCACCCTGTACATTAAATTCACGCGTCTGATTTTGAAGACACCTGAAACATTCCATGAATTTTGAAGCTATTCAATATGTACACGGCGTGCTGTCGAGGGTATAACATTTCAACTTTGGTTAGAATATCAAAGTACCAAGCAGCCATCTGCGATCGTTGAGGTATCTCTAAAAATAATAGCATTTTAGGTTCGCAAGTCCAATTAATCTGCAGTTCACCTGCCAAATCGCCGAAAGAATAAAATTAAAACTGGGCTGAAAATATATACCTTTCCCCATTCTGTTTTTATCACCGGGGGAAGTGGCAGAAGAGTCCAGAAACCACATGGATGTGGAAACTTCCACTGCATCTTGCAATAAACCAACAGTTTGTCATGTAGCACATTTTATGTAATACTATGAAAAACAATATGACTTCCAGAAAAGATTTAAAATACAACAATAAAACAGAGGTAGAAGAAAGCATTGATTTTCCATGGACAGACATCCACTCTGAAGAGTTTTACAGAGATCTACTCTTCTAAGATGGATAGCTTAACGATGAAAACATGGACATATTACCCTTAGTGCTCCTGAAAACTCGAAAGGAAAAAAAAAAGACAAAAGCAACTACAGAGCATTCTTTTGGCACTTGGAAGGATTCTCTGATCCAAGTTCATCTTGGCTAAAAACATCACAAAAGAAGTCATGACAAGACACTTGAATCATTTCTTAGTCAATTGTCATTAAAGATAAATTTCATGGACTTGTAGCTCTGCTGAAGAGATTTGCAGAGATTGAGATGGACTATTATGACGAATCAATATAAGAAATGCACAAATGAAAACAATCATTAATCAAGCAAAACTTTGCATCATGCCTACAATAAAAGCAATTTTTGGAGAGATAAGAAGAGATAAAAATTTGAGTGGATCCTGATAGCAGAACATTCATGGAACAAGTTGCTCTTGACATGAGCATGAGAATGCCACAGCACCAGACTTTGTTGTGCACTGAACATACTACAGATTCCCTGCTCTACATCTTCAGAGGGTTATATCACAAGATGATTGAAGACATTTGATTCCAGAGTATCTGGATGGAGACAATGCAAAATGCAGAGTGACATGACGGCATCTTTAACAAGCTCACACCTTGAATGTGTACTTCTCAAACAATTCGTGAGCAGAGTCAAGGCAGTGGTTATGGCATACTTGTGCATAAAAATGCCCAAACTTGTCACTGGTACAGAACACTAACAAATGACATCAATTATGAGTTGGGTCCACAGTCCTTTTTCGTATCACAGAAAGAAACAGCATCTGGTATCAAATTTGCTTGTGAATGGCAGGACTCAGTGGCTTTACATATGGCACCATGATGTCACATTGAATCGCTTTTCTACAAATGTATAGACACATACTGTATTCACACTAACAAATCTCACACAGCAAATCCGACCACCGTTGTACTATAACAGACGGACCACCTCAATTGAAAGAAAGACAGATGCCCAGGCATTAAAAGTGCAAAAACATTAGAAGAGATCAGGTACCATAGTGATTCAGATATAACCTGTTGATTAGTGGCAAAATTTGCGCGAAAGATATTGGGATTACATTAAAATTGAGCTCAGTCATAGTGAACAGGTGAAGGTGGAGGTGGGAGGGGGTTATAATAAGACTTTTCTGTCATTGGCGATGGAGGACAGTTAGAGGGGATGCTGAAGTAGTGGGACCGGGGAGTGGGAGGTGGAGGGGGATACACGTCATAATCGTACACCTGACAGTCGGATTCGTCGCACACGTCAGTGGAGCACGGAGTGGGTGGCGGTGGCCGATTTCTACTCTTGTAGTGTCGATATGAATGTACCTGAGTGGAACAACAGCCAGAAGGTGGGACTGTAGCAGGGCTGGGTGGAGGAACCTTTGGTCCTACTCCATACCTTCCCGAGCTGGAACTGGACGATGCGCCCGTGACGTGATTTCGATCATACGAAGATGACGACTGAATGTGAGATGGATGAAGATGACGATGGTTGGTTGGGACTGCCGTGTAACCAGCAGCAGCCGCTGCAGTAGTCTCTGTCAATGAAGTAGTCAGGGTCTCACTCCCTGACACTGCTGACCGTTTGCTGCGTGCTGATCGCATGCTGGAGAGTCCCACTGACAATCCCTCACCCTCTGGCGAGGAGTTAATGTTCATGCATGTACGCCTCATGTATATCACGGAAAAGATGACTACAAGGAAGATGAGGGAAAGGCTGACAACAATCACAGTCGTAGTGACAGGAGTTGATGTTGCCTCGAGATATATTGCAGCTGATTCTCGGTATTTACATGCATCAGAAGTCTCATCACTGTGATCAAGACAGTCGTTATTCCCATCACAAACCTGTTCCTGTGTCAGGCAGCGATGTGGCCACCCACAAGCCCATTTGCCTTCACCACAACAATCTTCATCACTCTCATCTTCACAATCAGCATGACCATTGCAACGCAAGTTATTTTCTGTAAATAAAAAATCAGTGATATCAATATCTGGGAAGCATTAGATCATTGCAGTAGGCAAACTCATATATTGAACTTACCAAGACAGTGGCCATTTTTGCACTGGAAGAACCCTGGCCTGCAGTTGGAGCACTCAAGTTCATCACTCTGATCTTGACATTCTGCTACACCATCGCACCGCCATGACTGGAAAGACAGATGCAAATGAATTCTAGTAAAAGAACTCATAAAACTCATGAAAATCTCTTGCCAAAACAAACCAGAGGTATGCAATTGATGCCTCCATCACAGGCAAATTTATCAGGGCTACATGCAGGAGGTTGGAGACAATTCTTGAGGTCATCACTCAAGATCATCCCTCGAGGACAGGCACATCGATGGCTGTGTCCTTCATCAGATATGATGCAGAGATGAGAACAAGAATGAGCACCAGGGGCACAAGGGGTACTCTGAATGATCTTCTGAGGTATGACTTCGACAGCCACAATGTCAGATAGATGAGAAAGGCGCGTGAGGACAGACTCTCGCTGCTTCCCAGTTTTCCGATTTATCCGACTAATTAGGTTCTGCTGCTTGTCAATCCAATACAGATAATCACCGTGAAGAGCAAGAGAAGAAGGATGTAGCACACCCTCCTCCAATAGGACTTTCCTGCACAAACAGGAGAATCACTGAGCAGGACAGAAGGATTCAACCAAAATGAAGGCTTCTGGGATGTCTTACCTGTCTCTGCCATCTATTGTGGCCAATTCAATTGACTGCTTCTCAGCATCACCCCAAAAAACCAGATCAGCTTCAACATCTACAACCAAGTCAGTTGGACTGGGTAGATCTGAAATAATGGTGGTGATGTTGCTGCCATCCAGGAGTGATCTCTTTAACTGTCCAACTGATCCGACATCCAGCCAGAACAACAATCTATAACCAGAAAATAAAATGGAACTCTCCATCACAAGCTGTGCTGTCAGAATGGACCAGAGACTCAAACACTTCTCCCAAATTCAAACCTTTTGAGATGATGGATGGCAAGATCTCGAGGTTTCTCTCCTTTACTTCCAACAATGACACCAATTGATGATCCATCAGTTCTTGTGACATTGATTATATTTTTTCTTGCACAGCTCCAGTAAAGCAATTGGGTGTAGGGATCAAATGCAAGATCATATGGATGGTGATCTAAATCGGGATTTGGAAGTAACACACCAAGGTGTGTCCCATTCTGATGTGCATGCCTGATTGTAGCAGATTTGTCCACCCAGAAAAGAACCTATGGACAAAACAACTTTATCAATGGTAAGCTCTCACAAGGTTGAAAAAATCAGGATGAAAGTATGAACTCACATCATTCACACCATCAACAGCAATTGCTTGTACATTCCTTAGTCCACCAACTGGGAGGATGAGATCGGGGCAGTCACCAGTATCCATTAACAGTCGACTGACTGAATTTTTTTGACTGAAGACAACAAATGTCTTGGGAGCTGCAGAAACAATCAGCAACATATTTCATACAAAGAACTTGGGGATTATCAGCTTAATTTATAACTCACATATGCAAGTTTTGTTGTCACTGTGAAGGCTGTAGTGAGTGGGACAAGCACATGTGGTGAGATAGGTCTCTTTCAAGGGGACGTTAATGGGCAATGCCAGGCACAAATGAGAGCACCCATTGTTGTCAGGATGGCATGGATTCCATCCAGACTGCCGACTAGCATGGTAGATATCAATGTCCAGAATGAGATCCAGGTGATACTGGATACGTGTACGATTCTCTCCAGTAATCTTATGAGCCCGCTCAATGGAGCCTGACTCCATATCTGTCCAATAAATATGGTCCTGAACAAGAAAGAAGGGGAATATGGGAATGAGGACAGATACTTCAATTCATGAAAAAAAAATTGGCTTAAAGTAAGAGGTCATATTCAGGAAATTCTCTGAAGTTCCTTTACCTGATATTGAGCTAAGCTGAATGGCTGGTGGAGGTCTTCTGAGAGTACTGTTCTCCTTGCTTTTCCATCAAGATCAGAGCTCTCAATGCGCTTTACATCCAGATCTGTCCAGAAGAGTCTATTATCTGCAAAATCAATGGTAAGGCTATTAGCCCGTCCCACTCTGTTCACAAGCACAGCTCTCCCAGATCCATCCATAGATGCTCTTTCAATACGAGGCACTCTCCCCCAGTCACTCCAATACATATATCTGCAGACACACCAAAATGAACAGTAACACCGACTTCAAATATGGGTTAGGATATTTCCTGAAGAATATCATGCTTCATACCCAAATCGAGGATCAACTGTTACTGAATGTGGAGTCTGGATATCTTCCCATACAAGCACCCTCCTTGATGATCCATCCAAGCGAGCTACCTCAATTCGAATGCTACCCATGTCTGTCCAATATATGTTACCAGCTATCCAATCTACTGCCATCCCTACAAGAATAAGGAATTCAACAGTCACATGAAACATAATTCACAAGCACTTAAGCATGGATCATTTTAAGAAGCAGCCACTTTCACATTTATGTCTGATATATTTTGAAAAGACTACTGGTATAGGTTCTAGAGGATAAGCATACCTTCAGGGAATTGAAGACCATATTCAATTATATGTTCCAGTTGAGATCCATTCACAAAGGCACGTGAGATACTTCGGATGCTGGTATCACTCCAATAAATTCTATTTTCATCAATGTGAAAGTCTAAAGCCACAGCTTCCTTCACTCCAGGGACAGGTATGAGGAGATCATTGTGATAAGTCTGCAGGGAGATACGCCTGATGTCCTCTCTTTGAGAGAACAGGAGAAAGGCTTCTGGAACGACACATGTTCGATTGTCTGCCTTCAGCTCATATATCATGGGGCAAGCACAAACATATCCCAGGTGACGAGGACGATTCAGGCAAAGATGCGAGCAGTTTCCATTGTTTATTGCACAGGGATTCCAGCCTGGCTCTTGCTTCATTGAAACAGCCTATGTAAGCAATATGCAGATGCATGTCATCATCATCCAGAAATGGAATATGTTTTTCAACATAGGTTTCACACTTATTAAATTTTTCAGAGATTACCTTGATTCCCATGAGGTCAGGTAGTTGGTCAATGATGACTCTTCGATCCTGCCCAGTCAGGTGATTGACCCTCTCCACTCTTCGATTCTGCCAGTCCGTCCAGTACAAATAGTCTCCGAGGAGTGTCAGCCCGAATGTATGTGGGATTTGATCCTTTACAAGGACTTGGCGATGAGACCCATCAAGGTGTGCAACCTGGACAGTACAACACAGACATGTTTTTTGCTTCAACCAAGACAATATCATATTAAATAAAAACACAAGAGCCACTAACCTCAATTTTGTCAGTCTTGGCATCTCCCCAAAACAATCTTCCTGAATGAGTGTCCACCACCATCCCATTTGGCCACCCAAGATCGGTATCAATCAGTTGAGTTCGCTCAGTGCCATCCATATTAGCCCGCTCAATCTTTGGATTAGCTCCCCAGTCAGTCCAATAGATTAGACCTCCAGGAGGGTCCACAACTATGGCACGTGGCTCATCCAGTTTGTCACTAATGAGAATCTAAGAGAACAGATACAAGAAAGCACTTCAGAAAATGACAACATCTGTGATGTTCATATTGACAGGTACAAATACTGACTCTTCTGGAAGAACCATTCAGATGAGCCACTTCAATTCTGTCTGTCCCTGTGTCTGTCCAGAAGATATTACGAGCAATCCAATCAATGGCAACCCCATCTGGGTGATCAACTTCAGTGGTGATGATCTCCTCCTGTCCTGTCCCATTCAGATAAGCACGACTGATAGCACGTACCTGAAAAACAGCAGCAAAGTTTTCAGTGAGTCAATGGACAATTTATATTAATAACACCATGGGATCTGATGTGGAAACTCACTTCATCATCTGTCCAATAAAATCTCCTCTCAACAGAATCATAATCAATGGCAATGGCATGCTTAATATGATGCAATGGCATCACAACAGCAGTGTAATCAGGGGTGTCCAGAGAGATCCGTCGGAGATCAGTACGTCTCACCAATAAAAGTAACTCTTGAGGACCTGTGAAATACCATTACAGAATAACCTGAAACCCCAATACCAATACAACAGCAGCCACAAAAATGTATGCATTAAGAGAAAATTGAGGCTCTGCACTAATATGAGAAAATAGATGATGACTTTTCCTCACCATTTGCACAAGTTGTAGAATTGAGCAGCTGTACACCAGTAGGACAAGCACAAGAAAAAAAAGGAGTAATGGGGGCAGCCAGGCAGAGATGAGAACACCCCCCATTGTTGTGCTGGCAAGGGGAATCTTTCCAAGGCTGCCGGTCTTGCTCCCATACATAAATATCCATTGGGCTCAAAGATCCTCCAGGTAATTGCTTCTGCTTTGAACATCGCTGCTTGGGGCAGGTCCGAATTGTGCTAATAATAAGACACAGTTCAAATAAACAATCAGACTGATCAATCAATCCCTTCCAAAAAGTGTTAAGAGAAAAGTCATGAGATCTCACCTAGTTTGCCAGTCTGTCCAGTAAAGATTATCTCCATATAAGGTGAGAGCAAAAGGGTGAGAAAGTTTCTTAGAGGTTATCTCTTGACGATTATTTCCATTGAAATCCACAGAAGAGATCATCTTGAGCTGAGCATCTACCCAGTACAGGACATGGTCTTCAAAGTCAACTGTCAATCCATTGGGCCAAAAAATGTCATCCTTCACAATGACTTGTCGAGTTGCTGGATCTCCATTCATCCCAGAACGCTCAATCTTTGCCTCCTCTCCCCAATCCGTCCAAAACATCAGCCTAAAATAATCAACAAAAATATGAGGTACAGACCATTAATTTGCCTACTTTATGCAATAGTCAAACAGACAGCCAATTTCATTTTCTTTCTTTCGTGACTTGAAAAGCATTCAATACAAAGATTTTGAAATTCAGCAAGGTTATAAATTCAACATGTAAATAATCATACCCTTCATGTGGGACGAGAGCAATAGCACGTGGCTGATCATGCCCTTCCCATGACAGGACCTTCCGATGTGAACCATCCAGATTGGCAACTTCCAAGCGCTTGGCATCTACATCACTCCAATAGATCTTATCATTGATCCAATCAATGGCCAATCCATCTGGAGCGACATAGCCACTCACAACGGTGTACTGGGTTGTTCCCTCTGTGCCTGAGTATAGGTCAACAATTCAGGAAAATTCACATTTCATATATATGCAACCACTAGCAACAAAAAAATCTATCCACATTGGGTAATGACAATGAACAAAAGACAATAAATGCATATTTCCAATTGATAATTTTTCAGTGTAAGAACTCACCATTCAAATAGGTACATCTGATCAGATAAAGTGTGATTTCTGTCCAACAGATGAGATTTTTCTTGTAATGAAAATCCAAGGCAGCTGCATCCTCCAGATCCTGAGAGGAAGATGAGATTGGAAAATTGAGGTATGGTTACAGATTTTTTTAAAAAAGTTGATGTCTAGTTATTTCTTCTAAGCGTGCCTATTATAATCAATGGAATAGAATTCAGTGGTCCTTATCTTCTCTGTTCTTAAACCAGTTTTCTTATAACACCAAGCAAAGTAAATTTATTCCAGCAACTTGGAAAACACCTGCACATGCACATTTATTTTATAAAATGATACACTTGTAAACAGTGAGGCACAAATGCAAAACAAAAGTACAACTCCATTCTAGGTTAAAAAAAAAAGTCTGCAGTCATGCAAGGAGGATGGACCTATTTTACATATTTCTAACTATGGCAAAACACCAAACACAACAAACCAGCTGAGATACCTTGAAATTAAATAAAATAGCAATATAGTTGTAAACATATACATAGTGCTGTCTTATGGAGATCATGGCAGGGTCTTGCTTCTCAAGTGCATTTGCCTACCACTCTCCCCCATCCAGTTTCTGTTTTATGCCTCTTGTTCACTACACAACACATCCTGCATACTAATGAAGAAAACCAGCTGCCCAAAATTATATCCTCATCCTATTGAGCCATATCATGGGAACAGGTGCTATGCCCCCAAACCATGTGTTCCATGTCCCCTGACCATATCAGTTGGAATTGTGGAATGATTTCTGATAGATATAACAGATTTGGCTCAAGAGCAGAAACACTAAATTACCTCAATAAAAAAGGTTTGAATGGAAATCAGTATCAAAAGCGTGACTTTCTGGAGTGGGTCCCCACAAACCAGGAGGAAAAGAATTTCAGAGCTGGTAACCCATAAGAGTTATCTGTCTCTTTACAGAACAGGTCTGATGCTCAAAAATATAATAGCAAGAACTCTTACCTTCACCACAACATGAGATCGTGCCCGTGGTTTTGCAGCATCAATGATTCGGATGTCCTTCCTATTAGCGAACAGGAGGTATGGAGATCCTATAGGAGCAGGAATGAAGAAATTAAATAAGTCACAGTCCATACTAAAATATCTGTTTGAAAGAACACAGAAAAGAGTTATACTCACCAGTCACAAGATGTACCAGAAAAAGGCCCCAAGCCAGTGTGAGGATCCAGTTCAATGAAAGGTGGAATATCCATGCCATAACAGCTCAGCCTTATCAGCATTGAGCTTCACTAACTCCAAAAAGAATTATGCCATTATTTTAAACCCACTTTGTGTGGAAATTGCATCCATGAGCAACTTGCTTAAACAAGGATGTCAACACAACTTGACACCCAATCACATGATGAAGGCTGAGCAGAGAAGTTCATGAACTTCTCCTCTAGACAAGGCCGAGCTTTCACGTCCATCAGCCCCTGCTTGGATCGCAGGCTTCACTGGTTATGTTCAGTTCACAGTGATGGGCCTCTTCATGGGTTTGCCTATCGTGCATCTAGACTAACTTCTTGCAATGACTGGGCAAATCGGATTTTTTGAAGAGCGATTGATCATACTTGATCGTTGCCTTCATTGCTCATTTTCAATGCTGTCACTGAAAGACGAAGATGTCAAAACTTGAACGATGTGAGGAACTTGATCTGTGACTAATGATGTACCTAACATGCTAACACTATACCAAAAGCATCTGACTTCTTAGAACTTCGGACTTCGGGGAAACGGCAGGACTTAACAATCCGGCATTACAGCACTTTAGCCTTAGCCTACACAATGTCAAGGCGTTCAAAAAAAACAGGCACAAAATCCGAAAACATTAGGCTTTAATTACACTGAAATGATAGGACGCGTTCATCTAAGAGCACCTCTAGCTTTTGAAGGATACCGCGAAGCCACCAGCAGCATAGCACGCTCACAGTGCAATATCTCCCTAGGGACGCCATCATTGTTTATCAGTGAAGATCTGCGCTGCCTTGCTCAGTCGAAGTCCTGGATGGTACCAAAGTAAGAATATTCCTACTCATACGTCATTTATTATCTCTAAAAAAAAGTAGTTAAAATGTGAAATGGAATATTATTTAGCTCACAGCTATGGTGCAGTATAGTTTATCGACCAAAACTGCCGCTCGAGCTAATCTTCCCTTGATTTGCGCTCGTTGCAGTCGAATACGTTCTTTTCTCCCATGTTGCAGGTGAGGCCGCCTCAGACTTTTATTCTTGCTGTCGTCTGTAAACTCAGAATTATGGAAGATTAGGTGCAGTCGTAAATTTAGAGGGTGCATGATTTTCCTTGCATCATCGTCAGGGCCGGATTTAGAAGTTGCGAGGCCCGGGGCATGTGGATTCTTGAAGCTTACCCCTCCGCTACTTTACGCTAATATTCAACGTTAATTTCCTTCGGGGCCCCCCCTTAATCCGGTCCTGATCATCGTGGTTTGTCGACACGTAGTTTTTGATCAGCGGGACATTGCATTCAGCGCTGACATTCCCCTTGGCCTGGGGTAGCCCAATCGCCATGTAACGTTACAGTGAATGTTGCTTTACTTCCTGTTTTCCTGGATGAGCGAGGAAGTCTAACTTAGGGGTGGGCCTGAAGCGCTATTATAATTCTATGGTCAGAATTAGGATGCAGCAGGGTTTCTAGTCTCATCAGAATAAAAAAAAAGCCACTGGCACAAATTGAAATTCCAGTCAATTGTTGAATTGTAAGGGATGTGAAGTGCTGTGCTTTGTCACTATTGATTTGGAAAAATTGGATGCCTGTTAATGAAATTACTGAAAGCATGTTTCACTTTTGTCTGTATAAGCCATATTCTTGGAAAATTATATGTACAAATAAGCTTTCTTTTGAAAAGTCAAGACTTCTTTTCTTAGGAACACTGTGCATTCAGATAGAAAAGATATGCCTGCATAGCTGCAATAGTTTAATGTTATAAAATTTTGAAGATTGATGGTCTGGATGTTAGGAGATTTTGGTTTTATGTAAATTATTATTTTGATGCATTATTATGACAGGTGAAACTGCTTTGCATTGGATTTGGAAGAATAGCATTTTAATGGTTACTAAAGGAAGGAGTTGATAAAGCAATGTAATTTAGGAGTTTTTGAGTCAGTACATTGAGTTTGATGCACTTGTTAAACTAGCTATATATGGTTTTGCATTTTTTCTTGTGCTTTGATTTCCTAAAAGGAACCAAAAGACAATTAGATCTTGCAACTAAGGTATCCTTGGGTGAGTATGGGATTAAGTTTCATCAAATATGCCTAGAAAATAAGGAAATAATAAATTTTATTGCATCTGAAGTTAAGTCCTATATGAAGAAGAGTAATAGTGCTTTGAGATTCAGGATTATGCTTTGGTGTTAAACACAGCTATTTTTGGATCATTAATTAGTCTGATGAGACAGGTCTAGCATGAGATCTCAGCTACTCATATGCTGCACCTCAATTCCATGTTTTAATGCTAACTCTAGTCTCATTTGTGTAGATGGAATTCAACTAAAATGCAATAAGTTGTTAAGGAGTCTGACATTGGAAAAAAAAGTTATATTCCTTTCCTTTTGCATGGCAGATGGCATTCTAGCTGCAGAACCTATCTTCAGCAGACAGATAAATCCTTGTGACAAGATGTTGATGCCCAAGAAGAATCGTGTGGCCATCTATGAATACCTCTTCAAAGAGGGAGTCTTGGTAGCTGAAAAGGATTTCTACCTACCCAAACATCCACATATAGAAGTTCCCAATCTCCATGTCATCAAGGCTATGCAGGTATCTGAACCTATTCTATTGCAAGGAACAATGGGAAAGAGTAACATTTCTCATCATAGTAAGCTGAAATCCTGCATTATAAAGTTTTTTATATTAAATGTTATGAAGCAATTGCTTTGTTTAAAACATAGGCTTAAACATACCTAACCAAGGGTACTCAAATGCACTTATAGTATGTTCATGAGATTCATGATCAACAAAGAGAACAGGTTTTTTTTTTTTTTTAGCACATTCAGTTCTTAAAAGCCTCGTCAATATGATGTACAGGTCAAGCTTTCAATAGCCAGCCATTTAAATGAGAGGCAGACATGGGATACTTGAACGGTGAGGGATGGGGATGTAGAGAGTTTGGGTGATTTCTTTGAATTTCCCCCAAGTGGCATCAAGGTTTTTATGTTCATACAAGATGTGGAAATAACACTTTAACCTGGACTGCTTTCTAATATAGCTTATGACACATGAGGTCATGGTGATAGGAAGAAATAAAGTGAAGAAGCAGAATCAGGGAATGATGGTGAAATAACAGGTTATTGATTTCCATATACAGGCCTGATAAATAATTAACCCTTTCACTGCTAAATCCTTTTTCTTGATGCATCCCTGTGCTGATTTTTGCTTCTTGTGCAACATTGTTTGCCCTACTTATAAAAAATATATTTTTATCTTCTCTCATTTACCTTATTAGGTGTATAACTGGACTTGTTCAGATTGTCCTGAAAAATCTCTGGTAAGAAGTGCTGGAAGATACACATTTCAGCACTTGAGTTAACTTGATTATAGCAGTGAAAGGGTTAAAAAGTAAGCAGACGATCAATTGGCACAATCAGCTCATCCTCCTTTCCTGTGGTCTTCCTCTTTCCAATTCATCTGCCACACCACTGGTCTTCTGTTCACACACATCATCATAGCAAATCTTGTTCCATTCCGCAAATAGACCCATTTATTTTAAAATTATTTATCAGACCTTTCCTCCAAAGCACAAAGGCAACCCCACAATTGCCTTCACTGATAGATGCTGCCCTTGGCTCCCCCCCTCCCTCTGTATTGTGGCCTTTTGAATAGGCAAGCTCTAAAGCTATTAGGATTTCACAAGTGCATTGTAATAGTGTATGTAGGCTCTACGTGGCACTTGTTCTCCATCCCAGTGGACATTATTGCTATTTCTTTAAATTTCTGATTTGAAGACTGTTCATCCTGAGTTGCTATTATGTCATTTCAGAGCCTGAAGTCACGTGGTTTTGTGAAGGAGCAGTTTGCCTGGAGGCATTTTTACTGGTACTTGACTAATGAAGGCATCCAGTATTTGAGGGACTTCTTGAATCTTCCACCTGAGGTGAGGCATCAATATATTTTATTCTATGATTTATCAACCAATGATGCTTGCTGATGGACATGTCTGAGCTTAAGCACCTCAGCAAAAGCCCTGAATATTTTCATGTGGCCTGGTATGGTAGCTACACAAATCCCATGATTTGTGGAGCTAATTAGTTACAAAGGTGGGATATATGCCATGTGGCCTTTGTATGCAGGAAATGGGAATGAGGGAGTGTTGGAACATATTTTCACATGTTTTGCAAGTTATAATTTAAGCAGCAATTTTGATGCTTTTCAGTTGTTGAGGGATTGGTTGTGCTTTAAACACAGAGTAATATTCAACACCAAACCCAGCTTGGAATCACCTGGGGTAGGAAAGTTGGGTGGACTAGTAGTGTAATTGACACAACAAATGCTTTCAAGAGTTTCTGAATGCATTTTGCTTTCCTGCAATTTCACCTTGCAACATGAGGGGAGTTGCATTTGCAAACATTAGTATTGATTATTTAAACACGAGTTCATTAATTCTGATCTGGTATAATCAATATGCAGGTAAATAATGCAATTGTTACATGTTTTTGCCTATGTTGATGTATTGTGGTCACATTGGTCAAAATGGGTTCTATTGCATTTGTTTGTTGAGCTTTATGTCTGACAGTAAGCAGAGCAGGCTTGCAAGCATGAGTATCAAGCAAATGCAAAATAACTCTCTAACCATGTTTTCTTCAGCTTTTGAAGGTACTAGACTATTATTGAATTTCAGTGAGATGAAAAATTTTGAGGATGGAAGAAAGTTGTAGAAGTAATGGGCCATGGTGCACTTGATTCATGGGGGTAGGAAGTTGTATGGGAAGGGGCTGGTTTGTGCTAAAATCATCACTGAAATGACTGTTTCATAAATAATTTTTTGGCACTACTGGAGCAGATAATATTCAAAAGTTTTGAAAACTGTTTTTTATGACAATCATGAGCTTATCTATTGTGCCAACTGCTTTCTTTGAGACAGCTGACTCATTAATTTTTCCTCACCAAAGCTTGACAGTGCTTCAAGAATTCGATGATTTTATCACTGAACAAATGCAGGTATCTTGGTTCCATTAATGAATTGGACCTATTAAAAATCCTCATTAATTGGCACTGGGAGCTTATGAGGCATCAAGTGTTGCAAAGGATGACCTTGGATGACTTCAAATTTGCAACCAAGTGCTAATTGCCTCAAGTTACTTGCACTTTCACTGGAAATTTCATCTTTCATAATTTTCTCAAGATGAAAAGACTCCTCCCATATGTATTTACAAAAATTGCTTTAATATGTAATACATTTTTTTATTGTCAAACTGTATGGTGACTATGATAATCTGAAAGGATAGGATTTTATCCAATATGTTTATAATTTTTTTTTAATTCACAGGCACATATTGTTACTCCATAAAACATAAGGAATGAATAGAGCCATTTTTCATTTTGTGCAATGTGATCAATTGGCCTGCAAGAGTCAACTGTGAGAAGCATATATGTTATGTGCAATAAAGAAGAAAGTTCTTATTGGATGCAGTGCTTCTGCTTGTGTAAAACAATCCTGACCAACATGAAAATTTATTTCTCTATTGGATTGGTTGGCATTTTTTAATATGTATCATCTGTATCATACTCTGTATAGATTGTGCCTGCAACGCTGAAGAGGGCCACTCGTCCTGAAAGCATGAGGCCGAGACAACCTCCCATGCGTGGTGAATCTGGGATGTCAAAACCAAGTGAAGATCGTTCCTCCTATAGAAGGGCTGCTCTTGGTTCTCCTGACAAGAAGGGGGATGTAGGCGCAGGTGCAGCCACCAACCTTGAATTTGTACGTTTTTCCCATTTCTCTTCCAAAAACCTTGTGCTTTTGTATAACCTTCATGGAGTTATTTTACTCTTTCAGAGAGGTGGCTTTGGTCGTGGACGGGGAGCACCACCACCATGAAGTCATGATAATGAAAAGAAACTCTACTCATTCCAAATGTGAACAGGAATGGTGGAAATAAATATTTGGCTCTGAGAGTTGTAACATTCTTGTATTCTTTGCCTCAAGTTGCATTCACTTTCATGCATACTTGCACAAAGTTTGAATAAGTATGCCTGGAGAATGATATTGGAGTACTTACATCGACAGTCATGATACATTATTCATAGACTGCACCAGATATGAACTTAAGGCAAGTTTTGGTTATGAAGTGGATGAGTGATGAGCTTTGAAAATAGTTGGATACTTTCATTTGCACTAATGTAATCCTGTTTTTTTTTTTCATCTCATCTCAAAGAGCTGTATGACTTTTTCAATATGAGGCACCTGGCACGAGGAAAATTGGTGTCAAGGCCCACCTAAAGTGTGGGAAGTAAAAATGCCAAAAAACCATTTTCATATGAAGCATCTTCACTAGCATGTTATCAAGAGAAAGAGGGAATAACTGAGCATGTCAATCACAGATTATTTGTATGAATATTTGAAGACTGAGGGTCATTCCATATGGAATTGACTGATATTAATATAAAATGACACATGACTGTCTTCGATTTTGTGACTAACATTCTTAGCGACTGCGAGCAATTTAACAACCCCGTAAAAAAAAATATATATATATATATATATAGATTGAATAGAAGAAGACTGCAATGCCCCTCCCAGCCAAAGCCACCCCACGGCAACAGGCAGGAAATGTCTGGCCACTAGCCCAGGAGAAGAGGGCAGAAAACCATTGAATCCTGGAAACAAACTATGCCAAAATAGCTTGCAGAGCTGGGGCAAAGCTGAAGAAAGTTAAAATGGAGAACTGATAGCGAAGGATCCCATCCTGGTAATTTGTCAGGCAGCCTGCGTCGTCAGGGGGTTGAGGCCGCAAGTCTGACTAACCTGCAACCTAAAGCTTTCATTAAGTAACTTCCTTCCCAAGAATTCTAAAAACTTTTTTGACATAAGTAAAACAGAATTTGATGCTGCCCTGACGAAACTCCAAGAAAATTTCGTCATTGCTGTCATTGATGAGACCAGCAATAACTTCTGCTTTATTTGTAAAAGCCTCTATGGTATAATTGTGAAAAAAGAAATTTTGGAAAATGCTACTTATGAACCAGCTAAAGAGTCCCAAAATAAAATCCTAAGTAACCTCATGAAAATTAGTAGTAAGTTCAACATCGCTGTAGATGAGAGAGGTATGAAGTTGCCCTTTTTGTTTTCAAATCCTAAATTCCATAAAACTCCTATCAAATTTCGATTCATAGCGAGTTCTGTAGGCACTTGCCTCAAGGGTTCCTCTCTACTTTTAAATGGCATTCTTGACCGACTCTGACAAAATCCGACTGAGATGCAAGAATTGTCACTGTTAGGAGTCAGGAGAGTTAGTGATATCAAGAGGCGATTTCCCCCATTTCGATATCACGTGTCGAGGTCGAGCGTTCCTTAAGGTGGGGGGGGGGGGGGGGGGGGGCGGGGGGGGGGGGGGGGGGGGGGGGGGGGGAAACATAATGACACTAACATGTGCAAAGTGAGTCATAAGCAAAATGTTGCACAATAAAGCAGAAACATACATTTTTTGACATTTTTTAGTTCAACAAGTTCCAACAATCAACTATTAGGGGTTGAAACCATCGATATGGGATGTCATTGGCCACCAGGTTCATAAATTACTAACAATACTCAACTTGCCTACTGCCATCATTGTCAAAATATGACTGAATTAGTATTGGGTGATAAGGCTTATAAATGAAGTCTCTCAGAAGGCAAATCACCAAGCCCTATGACACTTCAATTCCTCGTGAAGCTGGCAACTCAAATTTTAGGGACATCTGGGGATTGTTCAATGAAGTCTCCATAAGTTATGTTGCCAATCTTCACAATGACTTGGAGTATCCTGAGGCTCTGTGATCTGTCTTCTGAGAGATCTCAGGTACAAACCTGATACAAGTTTCAAGTAGGGATTTCAGGAAGCATCTTGCCTATGATGACATCCTGAGTTGAGGTCAAGCGTTCATTTAAAAACATGCTAGGCCTATAAATCTTAACCCTAGAACTACCAGCTGTCAATTATATTGATGGTTCGGAGTTCTAGGGTTAAATCTACACATTTTTGCAGGAGCACAATGCTCTACTGTCTAGTTACTTAATGCTATTTGCTCTCTCTTTTTCTTTTTCCATGAAGGCATCTAGCCTCTTCTTAAAGTTAGACATGGAAGGGGTGATGATGGTAATATGCAAGCTGAGTTTTATGAGAAATTTCTGAACATGCCGATCAATGATGATCAGTGCTTAATCACTTCATCCTGTCTGACAAAGTGAATTTCAAACCTTTTAAATCTTCAAAATGGCACTAACAATAGCAAAATTCTCTATAATACTTTGTCTTCTCTGAAAGAAGCCAGCCCTGCTGCTTTTGTAATATGCTACAGCAAACTAAATTGAGGATCCCAATTTCAAATGGGAGATTATGACAAGCAATGCTGCAATCCAGCTATGTAATCAGTCAATCTACAGAAAGGATAAATGAATACATGAGATATTAATCAGACCTCGATTCAGGGAGTTGCTTCTTCGCCTATGTCTTTCTGCTCCTTTCTGCCTTGGCCTGCTCCGATCGTCCTGATTCTCCTTCAAAGCTTCCGTGACCTGGTCTGCCACTTGGGTGGATACACACCCCATCTTATCCCAATTTTCAATCAAGACCTGAAAAAGAAAGGCAGCATGCACTTTTCACCTTACTCATAGCAACCATTCAATTGATGCAGTGTGACATCACTGTTCTCACCTGGAGGATGAAGTGACATTCAGCAGGTACAGATGAATCAGCAGAAGAAAATGTCACAGGCATAAGTGTGGGAGCAAGGACTTTTGCCAGGTTCCTCACACCCATCAGATTCTCATTGGAATGTTCTCCAACTTCATGTAAAAACTTTCAAAGAAAATAAGGGAAATCCATACAGTACCAGTACTCAATAAAAGCCTCCCCCTAAGAGGGGGAGAAAAGGTGTTTAGTATTGAGATCTTGAAACCAATGCTGACTCATTGACTCTGTCATTAAACCAAAGGACAGTTGAACAAACACAACCACATATAAAAGAATATATCCAAAGAAGTCCCTGAGAATAAAAAAATTCACGTTGCTGCAGGCTTGCAAAGGTGAAAAAATAACAGTTTCATTTTCTTCCTTTTGGCTGTCTGTATGTACAAGGAGTGTCCAAAAGGCCTTTGATATTTTTCCATTTCCACCATTTCCCCTTGGCTTAGCCTGACATACTTGCAAATTTGCAGGCTCAACAGTCATCACAAGCACAATGAATCATTCTGAGCAAGAGATAATATCAACAACACCATTCCATCAGCACACCTATTTCTGAATATCAGCAAAGGAAGGTGACACACAAGGGCAACATTGGACAGTATGGTTCCTGTGGAAGGAAAGAAGGAAGGAGAAATTACCATCAATATCATCACAGGCTTCCAGTAGTGTATGTGAAGTCTGCACTTTTAACCCATTCGTGCCCAGCGACTGCAGAACACTATGGGTTTAAAAACGCAATATTATGGTTCCCAGCGTCAATGGGTTAAAACAGACAGTCTACAACTAGGTGCTTTCTTTTAAAGGTGGTCATCATACAACTGAAGATGTGCACAATATGATAGACCGAGCACCTCCACTACAAAAGAATCATTGCAGCTCTTGAATGATAGGTCATGAACAGACTAATCATGCAACAGGAGCTTGCTCTCACAGTAGGAATCTCAGCTGGTTCAACTAATGCCATTTTGCATGATAATCTGCAGCTGGGAAAGGTTTGTGTATGTTGGGTGCCACAACTCTTAACAGAGGAATTGAAAGTACTATGGGTACAGAAGAGTGTTGAATAGCTCTGCCAGCACAACAGTAATTCAGTTCCTTTCTTCAGCAGGGCTTGCGTTTACACGCAGATGTGCATCCTATATGCACAAAATTCCAAAGGGATGCACAACAAAAAAATATCAGGGTCCCAGGGACATACGGGAAAGTTCTAGATTTTCTGACTGGTTTTCAGACTAGTTGGCAGTTGCCTCTTAGAACCATGCCTAAATAAACCCATGCGCAACCTTATCAGTGACAGAAAGGGGGGGGGGGGGGGGGTCCTTGCTGAGGAAGTGCACAACGTAAAAGTAATGAGAGTGGCGCATGTTGCATTGTGTTCATGTGCTCATTAAGTATTTCTGTTTGTTTCAATTAAGACTTCAGGGCAGTTTGGGCCAACACTCCTCTCGTTCAGTTACAAGCGGAAAATGTACGATGTTAGTTTATTAGAATCACACGTTGGCATACGTTCAGATGTTCCTGAACATGGGCCTAGTGACACAAAGAAAGATATCAACAACGTAGGTATAAATTTTAAACAAAGGTGATGTCATCGTTCCACTTAGGGTGCACAGAGAAGGGAAGATCGCCATAGGCTTTGACCTAGTCAAACTGAAGAGAAAGAGATGGACGTGGGCAATTATGGATATGGGCAGCTTGTGAACCATGAATCACAATGAAGGAAAAAAAGATTTAAAAAATGGAAAAAGGCATGGGTCAACATATATTCCTGGCTTTCCTATAGAGATAGAAGAGCTTCCTGTGATTTCTGCTCAAATGCAAATAAGAAAAATCCCTACTCTGCATCTGGCAGTCGTAATATGCAGAAGTTTGTAATTTGCAAATTTAAAGATGCCCTAGGGATATTTGTCAAAGAGAAATTGTTGGAAGTAGTCCTACGGTAGTGGTTGGAAGTAGTCCTAAATTTCATAAAACCCCTATCAAATTTCGATTTATAGCGAGTTCTGTAGGCACGTGTCTCAAGGGTTCCTCTCTACTTTTAAATGGCATTCTTGACAGACTCTGTGACAAAATCCGACTGAGATGCAAGAATTGTCACTGTTACTGGATCATTAACAACAACAGTAAGGTGCTACAAGCCATCAAGGCACTGAATGAATCCAGGAAAGCCAATTCTGTAATGTCATGGGACTTTTCAACTTTATACACTAAAATACCGTTAGATATTCTACATCATAA